CCCCCGAGATCCGGACGATTCCGGATCTCCTTACTTTCCGCCGCGCCCTCAAGACATGGCTTTTCCAGCAAGCGGGCCTGACCTAGGGAGGATTTTACTTAGGGATGATTTTAAGAATAATTTTAATAGGAAATACAGCTTCTAATATTTGGTTTTTAATTTGGTTTTATAGGGGTTTATATTTTTTTGTATTTTGTATCTGTACTTGTTTTAATATGCTGAGTCCTGCGGGAGAAGGGCGGTATATAAATTAAATTATTATTATTATTATTATTATTATTATTATTATTATTATTATTATTATTATTATTATTATTATAGCTGTAGAATAACTAGAAAGCTGGACAGATGGCATAATGAAATTCATTGAATAGCCCACATATCCTTGGTAACTGTCTGCTTAAATCTCCAGAATTGCTAAATTTGTTCAAAAGGATTTGTGGAAGGGATATCATTTCAGATATCCCTTGGTTCCCACTGATGGTTGTTTTACTGGAAGTGGTATTACTAGAGATATTTATCTGGGAAATTTTTAATGAATCAGGAAGTGAAAATAACTTTTTGGCATCATTTTTCTGTTGTCAGACTCACATAAATCCTTCTCCCATTTGACAATGTTTTTTCACTGTAGCTGGACACTTATTCAACTATGGCTCTCTTTTTTATATGGTATTTCCTGAAATTTCACTAGATACTATATATTAATTTATTTCTAAGTAAAAGAGAAAGAATAAAATGCCATGTGAATGTTTCTATATTTTTTAGAAATTTTCTCTAGAAAATCACATGCTTTTCATACATAAATTTCAAAAGGCTGGGGAAAAAATTGTCTGAAATCTTAGAGGAGAGTTACTGTCAATCTTAGTTTAGTGAACCATCTCTACTCTAAATGGCTGTGAATTAGAATAGTTGGTCTTTGCATCAACAACTGTAAAGGTCAACTTAGACTTCATCTTCAGAGGTCACTATGATCTGGTGTCATATGTATATTATGAAACTATAAGAATCCAGATAGATGATTGTAGTCTGCCTTTCACACAGTGGCTCACCTGAGCTGGCTGATCTTATACATAACCCTTTTGCCATGGGGTTCAAGGAAGAGCCAACTGGCTTTAAAAACCAGGTTGGTAAGCTAGATGTGGCTACTGGTAGAAGACTTTTAAGAGTTCTGCCCATTTATCAATGAGTTCCAGGGGCCCAGGGGAAGAATCCAGAAAGTTCCTGGTTGCATGTTTCAGGGACCCAGATGACAAGTGCTGTGATCCAAAAAGGAAGGCAGGAATATAAGAATCACATGGCAAAGGACAAAATAATTTGATGACTGAATAGCATCACTGGACCCAGAAAGTTGACTAGCAGGTTCGTCAGCAGAAAGGCAACAAGAGAATGCCCATAAGAGGTTTCAGCCAGGCTGAGGGAAGATCAGTTCAAAAGTCAGCAACTGAGAACAGTGCACAATTCAAACAAATTGGCTAGCAAGTTTCACTAGTAGAATAGTGCTGGCAATGAATGAAGCAACAAGAAGAATGTTGTAAGCAAGATTAGCTGGTGGAATGTGGCAGCAGTGGTAGTAAAAAAGCTTTCAGTGCTCACAATAAATGTATTTTTCTTTCAATGTGTTACATGTTTGTGACTTTATATTGTATTTATGCTATTTGTGCCCTGCCTATTTGAGATTGTTATCAAACAAGATGGAGATGACTCTGTTGACATTGTTTATTTGGATTTCCAAAATAATGATTGACAAAATTCTTCATCAAACATTCTTGAATAAATTTTAGAGGACAGAGCATAAGATGGCCTGTCTTTTTATAAGCTATTAACAAAAAGTAATAATAAATAGTTAGTTTTCTTCGTTGTGGGAAGTAAAAAGGGGAGTCCCTAAACAATCTGTTTTTAATTTATTTATATATTATCATTAGGAATTGTAATCCTCTTTATGCAACTAGGTAGTATATCTGCAAATGTACTATATAACATTCTGGTAGTCACATTTGAAAAAGGTACAGAAGGCCACCAAAATGATTGGGGAGGGGGTGGGCGTTGAACCTTCTCTCATAAGAAAAAGCTAGAACATTTGGGACTCTTTTGTTTGAAGAAAAGTCTCCTGAGGATGGAAGGGATGACTGAGGTATATAGTATTATGTGTGGCAGAGAGGAAACTTTTCTCCCTGTCTCAGAACAATGGGCCCAATGAAGCTGTCTTCAAGAAGTTTTAGAATAAGTAAACGTAAGCATTTCCTTACATGGAATATATTTAACTTGTGAAATTCATTACCAGAAAATGTGATGATTGCAATTAATTTGTATTGCTTAAAATAGAATTGGATAAATTCATGGAAAACAATAGCAATAGCTCTTAGACTTATATACTGTCCCATAGTGCTCTACAGTACTCTCTGGGCAGTTACAATGTCAGCATATTGCACCCAACAATCTGGGTCCTCATTTTACTGACCTTGGAAGAATGGAAGGCTGACTCAACTTTGAGGCTTGCCAGGATCAAACTCCAGGCTATGGGCAGTTTGCCTGCAGTACTGCATTCTAACCACTGTGTCACCAAGGCTCTTTGACATGTCTGTCAAGAACATTTAGTCTTGTTGGCAATCTCATCCCTGCAAATACCAAATGCAAAGGAACAAAGACAAGGGACAGGGAATATTTCTCAAGGTCCTCAAGACATCCAATTGGCCACTCTGGAGAAAAAAGATGGGTTTGGCCTGATCGAAGGGGGCTATAATTTTTATAGCCATTCAAATAAAATATATTGTACTAGCTCCAAGTATGGAAGTACATCAGAAATATTTTGAATATGGCCTAGTCATCATAGAATATATATTGCCTTTGGTTTCATAAAATTAAGCAATTGATTTTCTTCCATTAAATATTGTTTTAATTTGAATTTCAGCATGATATATCCTTTTATGGAAATGCAGTCCATTTTTTGTGGAGCAAGGTCAGAGGAGAAGCTAGTCAAGGCCAGCCGCGATATGTATGACTGCGTCTACATTTTCGTTTCTTCTACCAACACTGCATTCCGAATGCTCAACCAATTTCTTGGAAGTAAATTAGCCACAATTACGGTACAGGAAAACCTTAGCATCAAGGAAATTTTTCAGCTTCTACAGAGTGCCCTGAAAGAGATGCAGATGCTAGTAGAGTTGAAAGACAAAGATTTCCAGCAAAAAATTGAAGTTCCTTTGTATTCTAAACTTATTCTGCCAGACCTTTCCACTGATGAAAAAATCAGGCTTGTAAAAGATATATATGGTCAATATAATGGAGTTTTTGAAAATATCTGTGGTCCCATTTGTGCTGTTATAATTAAGCATGGTAATTTCCCTGAAATGCTTGAGACTGCTATTCAGAATTTAATGAGTACGTCCGTGCCGTCTCTTCAAGTGAGTGAACTTCTCATGACCAAAGAAGAAATTGCTAAAGCACTTCCAGACTCCAATCCCTGTTCATCCCAAACTGCATCACCAGTCAAACAGAAAACCCATAGTTTTTCTGTTGTGCCCAGTTCTTTTTCATTTACTAAATTCATGCGGATAATTCATTGTAAACAAACATCTAAGGATTCAGTTCAGTTGGCTGCAGAACTCATGGCAGAAGCTGTTCAGATTTTGAAACCAACTTGTGAACATTTCCAAAGATCTATTAAGATGGCTGAAGAGTATATCACATTGATCATTGACAAAAGGCAATAAACCAGAAGACAATTGCTCAGCTTCTAGAAATTTACTTGTTTACCCAGCAAGAAAGTTGCAAATAAAAGAGAAAACTTCTGATTGCAGCATCATTTCCATCTACAGTTCATACATATTAATATCTCATATAACATCAGTGCAAACAAAGGCATATGTATATGGTTTGGCTCCTAGTGAAAATTCCCCTTGATAACTTTGAAGATTTTGTTATCAATTCCCTTGAAATGGCCTTATCCTTTTACTAATTCTTCCGTGCTATTTCTTCTCTTCTACTGCTTAATTATTTCTACTGTGTGTTTGTAGTCTTCATTTCTTCATCACAATTCCACTTTTCTCCTTTTACCAATTATCACTTTTCAATTCCAGTTAATTCAACTTTACTCATTCAGAAATAGTAATTTGACAAAGGAAGTCCACTTAGCCTCTTCTTCCTCCTCACGCCATGTTTTTTCCCCCAAAGTAAACGAATTCAGCATCTTGATTCCATAGCATTTGCTTTTGCCTGGGAATTCCCATCGTTCCCATATATTTGAATTGTCTGACAAATACTTCCCTCTCCAATGCTAGCCAGAACAGAAGTAAATATTACAGCATCAAGACACAAAATTAATCTGATTTTGCTCTTCAAAGCAAGTTCAATTGAATGATTCAGGGAGATAAACTGAATTTTTTGTTCATCTCTTCTTGGTAAGGCCACGCTTTGGTATGTACCATATGTGCATATGAGCAAAATCAGGACAGGCCTCTAACTGACTCACAAAAAATGAACATGGGCATTCAGTTCTTTGCATCTGATTTCTTAGGACAATCCTAGACAAATGGCATATTTATATATTTGTATCTTTCTTGTTTTGTGTTTGTGCCATAGATCATCAAATATTTAAGCATAGTGTAGGAACATAGTTGTAGAAGTTTTTAGATGGAAGAGATTGATAGTTATTTGTGCCTCAAAAATAATTAGGAAAATTTTGGGGCCTTCTATTAAGACAGAAAAACAAAAGAACTTGAAAACAGACACAGAAAAAACCCTCAGATGCTAGTTTGATGTGAAATACAAGAAAGCTACTCCAGAGGACAATTTTTCATGGACAATTTTTTTTCAGGAAAGCAAACAGCCTTCGGTCTTTTGGCCTTAAAGAATACATCAGAATTTAGAGCTTAGAAAAAAAGTTGTGGTTAGGAGTTAACTAGCATATACATTTCTAATGCAACCCAGTGAAGAGAGGATTTATTGGCAGTTGGCTGCAACATTCCTTACCAGTAATTGAAGTTGCTGAATTTGTTTTCAGAGGAACCTCTACCTATAGCACATTAAACTAATGAAAGTCTCATTATAGCAAAATCTTCCTCCTTTCCTTTCCTTATCAATATATAACTGTCATCTCATTTAAATCCTTCTTCCTCTTTTATTCCAGTTGTATCTCCATAAGATTTTTTTTTATTCTCTACTTATTGGCCATTGCTCAAGGTTGTTTTTCACCAACTTCCAACTATGTTTAAGGGAAATTGACAAATTGAATGGATGAAGGCAAACCATTAGAAATGTAATCAAGTTAAGTGGTTCTTCCTCATTAATTGGTTGTCCTTATTTCAGTGTACTTTAAAGCTGAAGTTTGTTGCAATCCTATGCAATGTTTCCTAGTAGATATTCTGCTGGACATATTTCTTAATAAACATCTGTGTATTGGGCCGAGACACCACATGAATAAGAACATTCCAGATACTTTTTTCCATATACTCAGACAAGTGCAATAGCCATGACCACATATCTTCTAAATTAGAAATGTAAGAATATTTTAAATTAAATCCATATTTCAGCACCTTCCTTAGTCATTAAATGAAATAATATGTCGTCAGCAAAACAGTAATAATAGAACAAAAAAACAAAAACAAGCCTTTATATTTGCATCATTATATTCTTACTCCTAGTTCCTAATCAGGAACATCTCATTATCATGCTTAATCACATTACATAGCTGAGGAATGTTTCCTTGAAATGCTTGCATTGTACATGAGAATTTAGTTTCTATTTATTTATTTCAAATGCTTCTCTGACCAGGACAAAAACATAAGTGTGCATTTGCCTAGTATGAACTGATATAAGAAAAAAAAACCTTGTCAACAATACCCCACCCTTATAGAAATTCCTTCTATCACATGAACGTTTGAAATGTGAGAACATTTAGTGTAGCATCTCTTTATAGAATTACAAATTTTACCATTAGATTGCCCCAGAAGTAACCCTCAACTTCCAATTTATTAAGGTAATTTATTATTTTTTCCCTACACTTTCCAAGAAATGTCACTCATGTTTCAAGAAATATTGGAATTTATAGAATTACTAGCAGACCTTACTTGCTCCTCAGAAAGGAGAAAGTATTTATTTCCTGCCTTAAAAGTGAACATCTTGCTGTTAAACTCTTGTTAGTGAAATAGAAACAAGATGCTATTTCTGTTTTTCTTAAGCTGCCCCACACTTTGTCCTTGCAGATGTCCCAGTTGGATGATAAATGACTATATTCAGATGTTCCCAAAGTAACGACGATATGCTGTAGGAAATCCCACTATTTCAGAGTAGTAGTTACAGGGTGCATAATGTTCACACTGTTCTTGCTTCATCTCCATTGGGGACTTGAACATTTCATAGTACCTGAAGAACAGGGAGAAGATCAGAGGAAGAAGTTGCAATATTGTAAAACTATGCTGGAGGCTTGACTTCATGGCCTTGCACTGTATCCCTTCCTTAAATCTTTATGTGAATGATGCCATTTCCTTTAAAATGAGGTAAGCCAGTCTTTCTATATTTGTGACAGCTCATTCTGCTGAGCAGGCTGGAAGAAAAGGTCAAACAGGAACCTGCTATGCCTTTATACATTTCTCCACTTGTGTAGCATCATGAACCCAGTGCCTGAATTATACTAATTCCAGGCTTCCCAATTCATACTTTATATTCAGAATACTTTATATTCAGAGATAAACAATTGATGGGGTAATAAATGGGTTTTATTAATGAACACATTACTGCATTTGGTATGCCCATATTCACCAATAATTTATAAAGTAATTATGTTATTATAATTTATGCTATTTTATCTCAGTAACTTAAAACAATAACACCTTTAAAACAGAGTATTATTCCATGGAGAAACAAAGGTCAGTTTAACTTTATTCCAGCCAATTATTTTTTACATTTAAACTACACCAACTTCTCTATTAGATTTTAGCCATATATTTATAAACGTGTGAGTACATGTTAGTATAGATGGGGAATCAGTGTGAGAGTAAGTTATAGTTCAGTGGTGGCGAACCTATGGCACAGGTGCCAGAGGCGGCACTCGGAGCCCTCTCTGTGGGCACACGTGCCGTTGCCCCAGCCTTGCCTCCCCCCGTGACCCCCTCCTCTCCAGCAGCCCCTCTGAAGAATCGCCCCCGAGCGTGGCCCACACGGAGCAGTGCGGCCAAGGACATGGCAGCCAGGCAGTGTAGACAAGACTCTGCCCTCACACCCCATCATAACATTTAAACATATTCCTATCCTTTATTTCATACATTCAGCAACTTTATGATATTATAACAGATATGGGCCATCTGCTAAAATGTATGCAATGAGTCAACATGCATTTGTACTGATACATGCCAAATAAGCACTTCTGAAATACTACATCAGTTACACTGGATATAACCTTAAAAAGCACTTTTTCCTCCCAACAATGATATTTAAATTAGCCTTGTTAAAGCAAAAAAGAATTCACTTATTTCCAGCAGCTATGGAATCATACATGCTGGCATTTCAATGCTTTTCATAATCTTTGCATTCATTTTTTTAGTTGCATTGAGAATTAATAATTACTTTACACATATCTGCATTACCTTTCAGAATATGAGTAAGCCCTCTTCTGTCTTCTAACAAAGGTGTTTGCTTTTTCCTGGCCAATTTTAATCCCTGTTGCAAATAAAATATGTTAAAATATGAGGAAACAGACTTAAATTCCAAGTACAAAACAGTTTCTAAAGTTAAAATTCCTTTCATGCTCTAGATTGGGGTGGCCAACCTGTAGCCCTAGAAATTCCAGTTGCTTTTTGTACAGACAGCAATGTCCTAAGGTCACGTAATCACCATTTACAACTTTCTGACAAGCAAAGTCAATAGGGAAATCCATATTTGCTTAAAAACCATATGACTCACTTAACAACTACAGTGATTCTCTTAACAACTGTTTCAAAAAAGGTTATAAAATTGGGCACAACTCACTCAACAATAGTTTTGCTTAACCATGGAAATTCTGGACTCAATTGTGGTTGCAAGTTGAGGACTACCTATATCTTCTGTCATACATAGAATATCTGGAATCATTGAGTATCACAGTTAAATGTCTAATATTCTGAATAGTCAGTGAGTTGCTGAGACCATTTAATAGAAAAAAAATGCCAGGGGTATTTTGGAGGAGAAAAATCATTTAAATTCTGTTGAATGGCCAAAAAAAATATATGCCAGGCACCTCTTTTTTTCTCCTTTTAAAGATACAGACTTTTGTGAGATCTTTTATGATAGCCTTAGATCTGCCTTCATCAAATAGCAGAGGAAGCAACTCTAATCCACAAAGTTTATGCTACAATAAATCAGGTAGGTGCCACGAGAGTTATTTTGCTGCAACAGACTGACTTGGCCATCACCTTCTGAGAACTTTTCTTAGTTTTTGCCAGACCATCTGGTAAGAATATTCCTATGTGTCTAGCCAATAGGACATTTATTCATCGGGGGACTAATAGGCAAACTGAGTTTGTGCCAGGTCTCTTTTAACACCTAAAAGAGATGTGTGTTAAGTTAGCTACTAGGGACCAGAGGTTTCCCTGTCAACTTTCTTCATGTTATTTGGCTGTCTGAAAAATTAAAAAATTACAGTAGTAATATTTGTCATCATAATTGGTCTACACATGGAGAATCAAGGAACCCTTAACTTTCCTCCATCTAGTTCAAGGGATTGCTAACATATTGAAAG